TCATTTTCCTGCTTGAACGTCCAATTAATCATCCATCAAAATCACCACCCACCCATGGCCACCATGCAGCCGAAGCAGCTGATTGGGACAGACAGAGAGACAAAACCAGGACTCAGCCACCCAAAACAATACTTCCGTATTAGGAACAAAGTATCATGATATGACTCCATAACAATACTAACCTCGTGAATATATTGTCTCCTGTTGTCCAGGTCATGTTTTAGCCACCTCATGCTGACCAGAAACACCAGCTCTTCACGTCTGGCGTTCAGGTTGTCGCTAGACAGGTACCGTACAAGGTCGTCCTTCTCAAGCAGTGTGATCTCCTCACCTTTAGCTACTTCGGCAAAATTCTCTAATGAAAACATTTTGGATCTGTGAACAAAGCATCAATACAAGGTTGTTTCAGCATACATATTCTGTATACTCGACCTGGTTGTCTTAGAATATCTGACATGTGCCAAAAGGTGCATAGAATCATTGATAGATCCTTGTGACCCACTGAAGGCTAAAAAATACAGAATTGAAGTCCACTTTTAATTTAATGAATTTTAGGCTAGGATGAAGGCTAAATACATATATATAATGACCATAAATACAATGATATTTAAGAACTGTTTCCTGCAGTATAATACAAGTATATCTTGCATTCTAAAATATGCATGGAGCTAGTTTGTCAGGTTTGATGATGTACATGGATAGATGTGACCCTTACTTACGTTTCCTGCAGGTGCTGACACCCGATCGACTCGGCCACATTGTTGATACCAAGGCAGTTGTACGAGTCCATGTTCCTCTCCATGAAGGTGTAACATGGTTCTAGTACCTTATTGGACACAAGATACAACTATTACATATACTCAATATGATACATAAAATACAGAGATCTTAAAGTAAGACAGACCCATACCTCAGCCACCACTCCTCAGTCATCTAAAACGATACTTAAGTACCCGAAAATCATATCGTAAAGAGGATGTCTACCTTGTCAAATTGCAGCAGGGACGCAGCTTCCAGCAGTGACTGGACGTTTGCCTTTGTGATGTGAAGTCTTCCCGTGTAGCTGAAGTCTAAGAGCGCTGACACTACGTCACTCTCCACCTCCTTAATCTCCACCCTTCCTTCATGTTCCTCCCGCATGCTGCTTGTAAACATGGCTGAAATACAAGGGAAAGGACTGCCATAAGGTGAGGAAATAGGAGTGAATGACCCGTACTAGAATAGACGATGAACACCATTTTATTTCTGGTACATGTACAATGTAGATTATAAAAAGAAAGAATTGAATTTTTGTAGACAGAAGACAATATTTGTTTCCCTACTTTATACACACGAGGAATACAATACATCGGTTCTTACAGCTCCACCATCACAAAGAAGCGCGAAGAAGCCGAGTTGGCTTCTTATGATTTTAACAGGGATCATAGCTTTGTACCTTTTCTTCTTTTGTTGTGACCTGTACTTAACCCATTGGGTATGTATGCACAATTAAGATTTTATTGTTCTGTACAATGTATGCTGAAACATAATATCGACATCAAAATTCAAACATGAAAACATCTTAATCGGTTTCAAATCGTTGAGTTGTAAATTCGTCCTTGGGGAAGGAAGGGTATAAATTATGCATGTAGGACATGATGGATATTAGTACCCGCGGCAGGTTTGATAGTATTTGTGATCAGCATCGCCATCAAATATTTAAGAAAAGCAGTCACTACAAGCTAACGGACACAAATCAGAGAATCCTCACAATTTCATGACAAACTCGAAATGAAGCAAGAAATTGAAGATAATTCGGACTTCTGGGAAGGCTTTCGCGAATTTATTTGCAGCAACTATAAGGAGACTTTAGACGGGACTAGGACAGAAACGGCGATGGGTCACTCAAGTCATCCTCGGCTTCCTGAATTCCCACGTGTCGACGTCTATCCAGATCCCCGCCGCTCCCAGCTCCCAGCCAAATCCTGAGACCTTCAAGGTCACCCCATTGAGTCCCCCACCCACGCTTTGTCAACTTTTCTGTCCTAACAAACCCATGATTAACACACAAAAACTCCTTCATAGTTGCAGATATTTATTTTGAATGAACCGGCGCCGATTAAGTCAAGTAATCCTTATTTACCGTGAGAAAGCTAAATCTACGGCCCAGCTCACCGATTTCTGACGCGAACAATTTTCACATTTACACTCAAAGAAATGAGATAGTTAGATATTAGATCACTTTTCTAAGCTCTGACCATTTTTGGTGTTATATATATATATATTATTGAATTTGATATGGACAGCTAAATCAATTGAAACGTTACCCTTGTCGGTTATCTGGTGTGCATCCATCTTGTTACACGATTGTTCCTTTCATAAAAATTTTCCACTCTTGCCTAGATATAGATGACATTTGGAAAATGCCCTATCTGGAAATCCTTACCTTTGAAATAATTGCTGTTAGCCACCAGAACACTCCGATGACAATGATGTTCCACCGGCCCCGTCACCACTACCGTGTCGGTACATGTTCCCTCCCGGCGCTGATCGTTCAGGCTGCCGAGGATCGCACCTGCGTGAGACGCATCGTGATATTCAAACTCATCCCTCGGTGCAAGCTTCCTCAATTCGCCCTCCTGTCCTTTGGGTTTTCCTGTCATGTTGTCTGCTGGCGTTTCTAGCTCATCAAGCGTCTCGTAAAACTGAGCGAGAGTGTTGTAGAATATTCGCTCATGTCCCGTTAGAGACGTGCCTTTGTCAGTCCTATTCATGTTTTTCATTTATCACCAACATACACGGTTCAATGGCTTACACAGAAAAGGATGACAGCGGGGACAATGTGCGCACTAAGCGTGCTCCTTGTAGCTGTTATGAATCATTAATGGTATTTTCCAGAAAATGGCCTCCGTTGTGTCAGCCCGTGCAATTAATTTCTATTCATAATGAGCGATGAGCCAAAAGGCTCCCGTGCTGAGCGTACGGCAGGTCGTTGTAGTCATTTTGCCTGAGGCAAATGTCATTGTAGTATTTGTTTTTCATCTATATTCCTAATTTAACGTATATTCACTTGATGTACATGTCTGCTAATAGTTTTGTTTCAAATCCAACAGCCGATATGTCAAGCTTTTGACTTAAAGCTGGACATCACAGTAGCAATGATAAACTGTAGGCCAGAATAGATGGAGAAGACACAGTAAGAAATAACAAGGAACGATCTGAATAATAATAGCAGTTTCGAATTCATACATGTGTTATAATGGGGACGTCTCAGGAATCGGATGCAGTACAGCTGAAAATACATAGGAGTCGCGGTACCACTGTTCGTAAAACGCTGAACACAACACTCTGGTACTCACTTACATACACATGTCACACGTTACATTAGTGGTTCCACAGGCTAGACAATTACTGCTGAAACAGTTTGCCGATCAGTTCAACTTGATATGTAGGTTTGACATTTCAGTGTGAGCCAAGTCAGGCGAGTATTTCCAACATTCCGAATTGTTATTGCATTAGACTAAGATACGTCAAAATCTCCTACTGAATGCCCTAACATCATTCCACAGTATTATAAGACAACACGAGAGGCAGACATGTAAAAGACAGTTTAGCCTCCCTGATATATTTTGGCATACATAAACTTCTGTCTGGATCATCTGGATATTCAATAGAAAAACTCACATCTACGAAGTTTTCGTGATCTCAAATTTTCTTGTTATGAGCCAATAACTGACAAATATTACAATATAAGGTATTATCATTGAGACTCGCGTTAGCAGTAATTTTTATTATATTAGCCAGCTTGCTCCTTAAACATGGTACAAGTGTCCAAAGCATGTTTGAATGTATTTACAAATGGCTACCACAATCCAATTTTTTCATATGCTGACGATATACATTAGGGGTAAAAATGCAAAATCTCCATAACGTTCCTGGAGGTCACTAAAAATTTACGAATAGACTAAAGCAGTATAGTACATAATTGATATTGGGGACCCCAACACGAAGATGGAACGATCCTAATAATTTTCTGGTATGGGTCCTTGGATAGAACACCCCAACACGTTTAGCTTTCCCCAACAGTGTACGGGCGGTTCGACAACAGCGTTTGTTCGTCGGGTCGACAGGAAGCTCATCAGTCTGGCGCCTAGGACTTCAATAGCTCAGGCCTAGATTTGTGGACCTCCTTTATTGCAGGCGACGCCCGAGGCTCCCAAGGAGGCAACGCGGCTGGAGTACTTAATGGAAAGCAAATAAGTCTGAAGTTCTGTATCAACCATCTTCACATGAAACCCGGATGATCACTAAATACGCGGAAACCACAAAAAGGGTCTCATCTGCTATTTGTTTGAACAGCGTGTCAACGAGGAGGCATTGAGCTATGAAATCGAAAAAAAGCGAAAAAAAACAGGAAGAACTTTTCTAGGAAGCCATTACTGTACCTAAGTAACATTGCCTTTTCGTCTGCCACCACGAAATACATTTACGTTTCACGTTTTTCCCCAATCTAATAATGCATCGTTTGATCAACAGTTGGATCTATCAATCACCACCATAGGATTTAACATCTATTGCCAGAAAAGTAAGATTCAATTTGAAATAGTAGTTATATCTAGCAACTAAAACATGGAATCAATCGTTTTTTTTCTATTCAGGTAGACTATGCTGTTCTGTATGTGATAATCATTTGGTTCTTCTGCAGTTGAGCCAGGCAATCTAGATTCCATTTAAGAGCCCTCCATCGGCTTAAGCTCAAATGGATGTATGGCCTAAGTGCATCCAACCTTGTTTGTAGTAGATTTAAAGTATCAGTTTGTAGTGTAAAACAACAGCTTCCCCTGAAACCATCTATCGCATTTCTGAGCATGGCAACGTCACTGGAAGAATTAGGAAAAACCTGGGACACGCGTGCACAGCCGTCCTACGCCTGCGGAAATTGGTCTGCCTACGTAAGTAAATATTTGTATGCATGAGCCATACAATTACTGCCGTAGGCCCGTTCACTAGACCACAATGGCTCGCAGGATGCAGCATGGTTTCGGGGAGGAGAGGTGTGTTTGGTCCGGTATGACCACGAATGCCTTTCTTTTGTCAGTACTTGGACTCGGTGAGTACATGGCACATGGCGTTCTTTGTTTCTTCTATGTGATTTTCACCTGAATTGTCCCCACTGCTGATCAGTACCACTATAAACCCTCAGTTCATGACCCACGCCATCACATCTGAAGTGAGCTGTATTGAGAATCCAGACTATTAAGAGTCTCAGATAACATCACTGAACCGCGTTTTACTGTACTTGTAATAGGTAGATATGCCATACATGTAACTTCATACTAAACGAAATTATATTATATTTTTTTACTTATCGTCAGAAATATGTGTCACAGCACATTATGGCTTTAGTTAGATTATAGGTAACGGGAAATATAAACCCCAAGTCAACTGTACAGAAAAGACTCATGTTCCCTCTAGCCGCATGTTTGATGCCGACGTGTTTCGTCTGGTGCGGCTCAAAATAGGTGATGGACTCAATGAGCTGTAATGAGCTCAAGTAGATTGCATATTGTAAAGCCTGTAGATAGTCATTTAGCCGTGTTAACTAGCAAACAAATCATTCTAATTATATTGTATGGTATGATATAGTTATTACTATCATCCCGTATTCGTATTTCATTCGTGTGTGCGTGTGTTACTTACAATGTTGCCAAGTCCTAACTGAATATACTTGTAACATGTTATGTTTCTCAATGTCAGAAAGATGTTCTCTCTGCAGTTGAGATAGGTGTGTATCTTAGCTTGTCTGAGATCATGTTCATATGCATTTAGACTTGATGATAAAATTTTACAGTTATTCTGCAGTTCATTAGTTTTTTTTTTACTATATGTACTATATATCTTTCCAAGCCTTCCACGGCAGAGGAAAAGCACGATTCTGTGCTTTGATGTTCTGTACTTGTACTAAAGCATCTAATTCTGATATTTGAGCTAATATTAACTACATTTACATTTACAAAACGTTGTTTGCAATGAATGTGTTTCTGCCTTAATTGCCTGACTTGTCGGCTCTATAAACTCAGGTCTCATCGAAAGACGGTTAGGCAGAAACCCTATATGTAGCTCTCTGCTCTGCTCTGCCACCATTTATTCTCAGGGTGTCCAGATATTTCCTTATATTGAAATACCTTTATTGTACATCCATGCCACGACGGGCTTATTATCAATATCCAGCAGCTCTGTCCTGTTGGCGTTGTCTTTTTTCACATTTCATGACAAACGTCGAACCTTGGTTTGTGAGAATATTAATCATATTATAATCTCTAGAACCTATTGTTACACACTCTTTATGTTGTTCCAATGCCCTTGCGATCAATAATGACATCTCCGAAAGGTATCGTCGACAAACATATGGACAGGAAATGTAGTATAAACCTCAATCAATATCAAACAGAGTTTAAATGATTGTGCTCATATGGCTTCGTTCGGTGCTTAATAACAGACGGCATATCTAATATTACATCTTCACAATTGCTTGTTTCCTTCTCTTATAAAGTGTCTTTAGCCAGCTCCGGAGGAAATGAGATTTCCGCTCTGACAAAAAGACGTGTCCTCCAGGATTGACTGTGTCTCCTCTGTTAGTAATCCTATAACGCGCCATTTTGAGAGACGAGCTGTGTGAAAAGCGCGCACGTGCGCCATAAGCTGAAAATCTGGGACACCAAAACTCCTACAACGGCTGAGGTTTAGGCCGTTTTATCCTAACAACAAAGGAGCATGAGAGAAAACCATTGACTTATGTCTAGTGTTTGCTGTGCTCTTTTATAAAGACGCCGCCCGGTGCTATTGTACATTGATAAGTCTAATGTGTCCTTTCATTTAGTTCAGGGATGTGTTAGAAATCACCCGTACATCTCTCGCTAGCACTATGTATCCATGAGAAAACACTTCTATACACAGTCTCAAACACATTCAAAATGTCTCGTTGCGTGGTTCTAGCTCTGCTAAACGCAGCAGCCGTTACTATGGCGTCAGTGACAGAAGGACAGGGAGGTGTGAACTGTCTGAAGGCTGTAGAGAAGTGCGAGGCCACGGAACAGTGTCGGCTCGTGCTGCACTACTACTACAAAAGTTGCCGCCAGTCAGGTAGGGGTGCATGCCTCAACCCTTGGTACCCAACATTTGACCGTTGGGATACCACAGAAGATCTGACAATCGGTTTTCTCCAAACTCCTCGCTTTTCTATTCCCCTTAACGTTTCACTTACTGTCGTGCCGGTCTATTCTCTGATAACATCCTCCCATCTTCTCATCTTTTCCATTCCTCTATCTTCCTCCCCATGCCTTACATGATAGTTTTGGCTAGTCCTGTTGATCATAACAAGTGGTCATATCACTTCAATGTTTGGTTTCTTTACTGTGGTCGGGAGGAATAACTATAAGGATGGAGTTATGTTTTGTTTGCCTCTGTTCCATACTTCACCATTTGTGATGCCGTCTCTGTATGCGATCCCTAGAATAACTTCATCGAGCCCATATAGAGGAATTAAGATAATATTTCTTTTAACTAAACATTATGTTGTCAATGCTGTTTTAGCAGCCATGTCTGTGGTGCTGAAAAGCCATCAATTGTCCGCTAGGCTTAACTTCTGTCCTTGGCCCATTTTGCTCTCTCATCAATTCATTTTTTCGTGCTAATTAACTTCTTCCTTGCCTTTTAGATGAAGTCTGTGTGGAAGACAGAGCAACCCAATGCCGAGATGCTTACATCGCCTTACAGCGGTACATGGACAAGTGTGATTGTGGGAACACCGACAAGAGCCGTCTGGAACACTGCATGGACACAGAACAAAGGCTGTTCCACCATCCCTGTAACGTTGAAGAAGGTACATATGCTTTCTGGCATTCTCATGACTTAACTACTTCATATAAGTGATGTGTTACCATTGCAGTAATAAAATAGATCACATACGTCTCCGTTAGCCATTCCAAAATTCATGAAGTGGTGTAAGATCCAATTAGATTAAATTATTTCCGATACAATTTGATCCACAATTCCAAAACATTCACGAAAGATCTAGACACTTTTCAAAGATCTGAAATCTATTTCTTTTGAAAAAAATGTTTTCGTGACTAGAACCGTTGTTTCTTCCCTTGGGATGGAGCGCCTCCTATCTTGTATCCTATATGCTCAAACTGCAGGCCTCTCCTGCATAGGCAAGGAAGAAGACATCGACAAAAGCAGGCAATACCAGGTCACACTGCCACCGAGGCCGATCAGCTGTAACGAAGCAAAGACCGAGTGCAAGAACTCCTCGTACTGCAACGTGGTTTACGTCAACTTCCGAGCGAGCTGCCCCACCACCCGTCACCAGTGTACGGCCGCCATGAAGGAGCGGTGTAGAGAATCACGTGACAGGCTGAGCCTCACAAGCCTGGGGCATTGCATCTGTCCCAAGGGCATGCCGGGAGAACGAAAATGCCGTCGTATCCTGTCTAGAATACACCGAGATCCTTGCAGACGTAAGTATGCAAAACTTTAAAAGTTTTAAATAGAACATGAAGGACGATATACTATACATGATCTGTGAGGTATTGTAACTGTTATCTGCAGCGTTATGATGATGAAACTAATGTTTTGTTTTTCACGTATTTGCAATTGGCTATTACAGAACAAGACATCTTTGACTACCCTCCGGAGCCAAGAGCAGCCCTACATGACACGGGTGAGTTCTAGCCTCTGACATATAGAAGTTCATGCCTCAGTCCTGTCATGTCATAACGTTATATATGTCCACTCGAGTAGCATGTTAGTTATGCCTTGCATTATATGCATATATACTTATTTTTTTGCTTTCTCTCGGGTACGGAAGTATTATCGTTTTGTGTGGCTGAGCTGTGGGTTTGATGTTGCAGAACCTACTGAACCGACAACTACAAGTGAAAGCCGTAGCACTAAGAAAGGTATAATTCATGGAAAATTCATTCATTCTGTTTATCACCAAATTTCGTTCCATATATACACAGTCAATAAATCCACAAACATCCCTTGAGGACAATATGAGTTTATTACATCTGTAAACGTTCTTTTGTTCTTTGTCTTTTTCGCCCCTCAATTTTGTCTCGTCTCGTACACAAGCAGAAATGTAGTCCTGTGCCCCTTATACGGTTACAGGATCAAGAGCATTTTTTTTTGTTTTCATGTGTTCAATATAAGTTGTCAGCGGAGGAAATATTTTTTTTATTTATTCCGAAACATGTAATCACAAGACGTAACATCCGGTCATGAATTTAAGCTATCAGAGCAAATTTCTTGTGGCCTTAGGCTTGCGTTTTTACCATCGATCTTGTAGAGGATGAAAATTACTGCGACGACTCAATGTTTTTTTTTTTAATCCGGATCTGAATATGTCTTCGCTTCGTCCCCCACGTTCATAGATCAAAGCATATTCCCTGAAAATTCAGATTCAGTCTTCATTTTAAAAAGTTACAAACAAGCAAGCGGCCAAGAATTTATGCTATGAAAAAAATACCGCCATAGAAACCTAATGAAAATAACGTGTTTCTATCTCTAACAGGTTACACAAGCAGCTGCTTTGCTGCCTTTGACCGATGTAACTCCAACTATGACTGCCGGACGTCCCTCGCCCATTACATCCACATGTGCGAGCCTGACGAGATTACCGGAACATGTGACAGACCGGCATGCATTGGGGCCATCCGGGACCTTTTCAAGTACGCGCCATCGAACTTGACCCAGCCTCTGGTCGAGTGCAGATGTGGAAAGCATGACAAGGACTGCGTCTCTCTGAAAAACGGTCTCCTGCCTGTTTGTGCGCGGCCATCCTCTCAAGTGCCCGACTGTCTGGAGTTACACCGGCAATGCAAGAATGGTCAACACTGTCGGTGAGTGTTTAACAATTTAAAACCCCTCACCTGGTCTACCGAAAGTCGTGCTTTTCTATTAATAGAAATAGATGTTTACATTCTTGATTAAGTCATGGTGACAGCGAAAGATTTTTGGCTAACTACTAATGGAAGTATTTACGTTTCACTCGACAGGGTGCTGGTCAACGTTTTTAAGCTTGCGTTTCGCCTTCTTTGAGTCATGGATGCATTAATATCAACCATGATTTTCATATACTACTAACTCTCCACCATTCTTTGTATAATGGTTAAAAATCTCATTTTTAAGCTGGAGTCACATTTCCAACGGTGCCGGCGCGGCATGTCCCCGATGTAGACCTCGGTCGGCGCCATGAAGCCGGGCGTACGCCGGCTGTCATGGTAAAAAAATGATCATTTTTGGCTCCCTGTCTGGGCCCTGTTGTGCTCCGACCGGCGCTTAGACGGCTTCCGTTCAAAATTCACTTTGGTCCCTTGGACGGCCGGTTTCTGTCAGGGACATGTCTGATGCCCTTGTGGGGTGCGGTAGGGTGCCGACCGGCTCTCACAGTCCGGCCGGGCAGCTGTTGTGTCCCTGGCGGGGTGAATTCGGCGACCGCGCGGGGTCAAAAATATGCCTACAGCCGTCGGGAACCCCGCCAATCTCCGTCCAGGTCCCGTCCGATAGTGCCCTAAAACAGCCCGCCAAGGCGCCGCGCGGGCCCCGATTTTGAATTGTGACCTATATAAATAGTGTAATGCTGAAACACGTCTATTTCAGGCGGACTTCGTGTGGTGACATGCTGGCCACCATGCCGTGCGAGTGCCGTGGGCGGGGCAGACGACATCGGCGCTGTTCCAAGGTTCTGAGAGAGATGGTGGTCAACGACTGTGGAGGTACAGAATGTGGTTGTACTCTGCACTCAAGTCCAATATGCAACTTGCAAATGCAAAAGTTGAAGGTTTCTGGTGTATCTTGACAGAGCGGACACGGTAGCACTAGGTAGCAACGTCCTCTTGCGATCTTGATATGCATTGCAGATGCGAACATGTTAAAACAACTATCCCACTGCTGCCACCAGTGTTAGTAACGTTATCCTATATGATGGGTATCCACACTGACGACTGATTTGGGGACAGGTGGGTCCATGTCTTTTATTGGATATCAATTCACACCAGCTGTCTTGCTGGTGACCGGACACACATCCTACACATGCAGTACTTCTTGTCATTTCCACATGCATTTTATACAGTTTGCAGTTGTTAGCATGGCAACACATATCGCATAGCTGTTGAGGTCACTAGATGTGATGTAGGAATCTACTAATATAATCAATGGACCAAAAGTGATGACCTTTTAACATAAGAATGATTTATTTTTGGCGTTTCTCTTTCTCTTCTTCTTTTGCAACAGAGAACGCCAGGAACTCGCGGACGGTTACAGCTCGACTTGAGCAAGGCACCACGACGTCCGATCTGCCTCCTCCTTCCTCCCGGCATTCTGTAACATGCCGGGCCCGGCATTCCCTACCCAGGGCGACCACATCTACCCCGCTCATGGTCAGCAACACTACCACGTTACTTGCTATGCCAGGTAGGCTTGATTAATGTTGTTCCATATTTAAACTCTTTAGATACATATTGAGTCCTATTACGAAAATTCATTGTGCTATTTAGAAAGCACACATGTAGCTAACTTATCTTGGGATAAAATGTAAATACGTTTTTATCAAATTTGTCAAACCTAGATACGCTGGTTGCACCGCAAAGTCCAGACGAAACCAACAACGGGAACAATGACGGGTCTACACTAGAGCGACCCCATGCGACTGGATCGTCAACTGCTTCTCTTCGTCAGTTTGCTTGTCTGTACAAACTTGAATGGACACTCGCTATGTTGTATGTAATGGCAATAATATTGATGTAAAGTTCACTACGAAAGATATAATATATACATGCAGTGTTATTTGTGACCATGTCTGGTGTTTTACTGATGAGAGATTTTCAAGGTACACTACTGAAGACTGAGATTGAGATCGAAACTCACATTTGTACACTTGTGTGAGTGAATTGTATTTGTAACACTAATTCCACACAGCAAACCGACTACATGGCACATTATCTTAGTCACAGCAGGTGAAAAGTGAAATGGTGCTGGACTGCTGGTATTGTTTTTAACCTACTCGAAGATTGTAAGTCGAATTCTCACAATTCCCCACGGTTGTGTGCAGTGGTTGCTGTTAGGGCAATATTAATTTGTTACTTTCGGGTACGGAAGTATTGTTTTAGGTGGCTTATGTATGTTCTTTGTGTCTGTTTGTCCGGATAGAGAAGTTTGATAGCACGTGGGTTGGGGAAAATTGACGAGCAGAATGACAGGAGGTCTGAGAATCTGGCTCGGGAGCCAGCAGGAATTAGAGGTCGCTATGGGAAATTCAAGACGTTGTGGATTTCATACTTTTCTGGGAAGTCTGACATCTCCGATTTGTTGTTCCGTTTGTGATATAATATAGTATAGTATGGCTCAATAATGCATCTATCGTATTATAGTCTGTCAGCAGATGTTGAGTCAAGCAAAAGTACAGCAAAAGACAACGCCCCTTTCAGAATGGCTATGCAAAAAGATCAGGAGGCTGCAAATGGGATTTATAACGATTAAAGCACCTTAACATTGCTTATCATTATGTTAATATATAATGTGCCTATGAATCCATGTCACTGCACAGTGTGTTTTATTAAATGGTAAATATGTAAAATCCAAGTGTCAATTGTATGTTCTTTACGTTCTTGGGTAGTTTAAGAAAATGACTATTTTTTCGCATTCCAATTCTCTGATCCAGTTATCATTCCGTTCATACTTCTCAACGGATGTCCTTTTGACGTAAATATTGTTTTGAAGTTTAGTCTATTCGATTTACAAGGGCATGTAATGACGACACCTATAATTGTGACGATATACTGTGTCGACAATCTTTGTCGTTTGTTATACGTCAAAGTGTCTGCGTCAAGTTTACATCAGAAATGAAGGGTCTCAACAAAATGGATATATGAGTAAACTACAACCTTCTTTCGATATATTACGATGTTATTGAATACATCTGCATTATGATCGTCTAATTTGTCACGGATCTCCGTTGCTTTTACACGTCAAATTGTCTGCGTAAAACGAGACTGTAGGTATAACAGAAAGGGCTACTTACGTCTCTACAATATCAGATAAGAAAACGTTGCAATTTTATTTTGGCATATTGGTGAAAAATTAAAGTGTCACAAATTATACATCTTCATCATATCCTTTGCGATAATTGCATTGTGGAGAGCAAAGAAGCTCAGGATGTGTCGATGGTAATTTCCGGTAAGGTAAAATATGTATTCGATAAACACCGGGAGACTTTCATCATACTGAATGGAAGCGTACTTTTTAATGTTCTGATGATATTCTCTTTCATTTATCATTCACAAACAGTGCATGTAGGTACATCTTATATGCCGTATCTTTCATATCAAAACAGCATACATCAATGTCTATATACAATCTTGCGTGATTTAAGGACATAAATACTAAAGCTGCTTAAGACCGGTTCGGGTGGTAATTATAGGCGATGAAATGGAACGTTTAATGACTTGAGATCCCATGACAAATGGCAGGAGTTACCCGTAACCGGCATTTGTCCCATCCCTTTTTAGAAATGCTTTGATCACCAGAGATTAGCAAGCCGCTCACGTAGATCAGCCTCGGTGGGGACACTTTGTCGGACGCGTCTTCCTTCTGCAAAAATGACAACAAAGACCCATATATAACATGAGGGGAACGCTACAAAGGTTTCTGATGGCTCTTTTTCTCATCTATTGTCTTGGTAAGTAGATCTGTCCGCGACATTTATCGAAACTTAAGCTTTCATTCTCATTATGATTGAAGACGGAAACTGCCAGTCTCAGGTTCGTCCGCGTTGCAGATGATGGCTAATATGTCTTATGGATGTAAGCGATTCAGAAGAATATAAGAAAAGAAGCTAAGCTTGAACGTATATGGCAATCTCCTAGCTGGTTTTACACAAGGTAAGCGTAACGGACATTCTTGCAATATCAATTGGCGCCTTCAAATTTAAGATACTATCTATTTTTTGTACGATAATTTGTCTTAAAAGCAAAAATACATCTGTTTAGCATCAACTTAAATCTATTCTTCTTCTATGACGACATTTGGGGATTTCAGGTTATTGAATCTAGGTTTCGCATTAATTATTATTGATGAAAATCTGAACACATGTACAAATAGTCTAAATGAAACCAAAGGCTAGGAATGCCTATTTGTGCCGTGTAGGCAATGTAGTTTGGCAAAGTATATTCATAATTTGTGTTTGATTGTGTCATATTGTATTGCATGTATTGCAGTGTTGCCAAATATGTCAGCTCCAACAGACGAGAGGATCGCTTCGCCAGAAGGAAATAAAAGCCTGGATGTGCAGAAAGCTGCCAGATTTGCAAGGTGGAAAATATCAGAGGGTTGCCTACATAACAGACCAAATGGCAAGCCGTCTCCACATAACAAACATACGAGAATAGCCCTTACTGCCGTGACAGTCGACGGTAGGCTCCTTTTTGTGTTAGGGTGCAATTTACGTTAAAGTACAGTAAAAGCTGTCTTTTTTTAAACAACTAAAAACGATTGTGGTGAGAAGATAGAAGGTAAACAACTGTTTACATGATCGAAAGGTGTAAAATGAATCGACGGTAACCTTGAGTATTGCAAAGTAAACAATAGTACGTATTTTGTATATAGTGAAATCATAATTTCCATGCTGCCTAACAGACACTTTTGCCTTTCGTCCACATTCCAGGAGTGTTTGTATTGAAAGAAGACCCCGGTATTGTGTGGATGGGCTTCCTGTTACTGCCTCTGGCGGCATCTGCCTCCTGTCTGATCTGTGCGTGCTGTGGGAATGCCTGCGCCTCGCGGTGCCAGCGAGTCGATCCTTTCATCTATAGACTATGACGGAGTAGCCTTCACTTTCCAGTGAAAAGAAATCAATAACAAAGTTGTTGCACATGCCATCGTTGTAATGTATTATTCTTCGACTACAATCATTAGTACATAAAGAGACCTGTGGCTAAATCCACTATAATCATAATATCTATGTGCATATCAATTTCCCAAGTCCGTAAGTACGTTTTTTAGATATTACGAATTATAGCTATAACATATCAAAAACAGGTATCATATCATAGTGGGGGTGTGTTGGAAACAATTACTGACAATTACTAAATATATCCAAAACTAATTGCGTATGGTACAGGTCCCTGTTGTTCCGTTATAGCGTGGTCACATTCGCCATAGGTCTCTTACGATGTTGTTGTTGTAGGATTTTCAAGCAGGCTGTTACAAAAACAACCGAAAACAAAGGTCTACGGCAGCCTTTCTTCAATAAGACAGATGAGGTTTACGGCAGATGCACGAATAGCCAAAGGATGTCATCGGTTTATGATCGTACGACGATCGCACAATGGACATGACCGAGCTCTTAATAACGTAATTTCGAATTTCTCTGTATTGTATTGCCGAATGACATCGTCTAAAATGAAACGATTGGCAGTGAGTGTTTTTCAGCTATTTCTGCAGAGAGACGTTATTTCCTTCGAACACTCAAACGACTGCTGACAAAATTACGTACATTTAAGGCTAGAAAATGGCATCATTCCATAGCAAGAAACAACTCAAATGTCTTGAAGGCATTTAAAATGAACATTCATCATATCGATTGCTCGGTCTTTTGACTAGGTATTTTGCATTCAGCAGGCTGTTTCGATTCTTCCAGATAAAAGCCGCTGAGCTCCAGTAGGTCATCGACTTACTTGAATCGTTGACCTATATTTTAGACTTACTAGTGATAAATCTTTTTAAAATGTGTTATTTTAGCTGCGGAAAATATTGAATTTGGACATGGAACATTGCAAAAGGGGTTTTAAAACAAACATGTTGAAACATTTTAGCACATGAAGATAACGTAGACATATCAATAGGGCAAGCTCTTGGTAACTGATGAAAACGTGCCATCAATATCACGTGTTTTGATGCAATTATTTGTATTTGTTTTTATATATAAAAAGCATTTGTATCAGATTTTGTGAATGTTATAATGTGTATATTTTACCAGATGCGATGCTCTGTGAATCATATCCAAGACAGGAATAAAGTCTCAAAAGTAGCGAAATATCATTATCATATTATTGTCTTCTTCAGGAAATAATTGAAATAGTTTTGAAACGTTTTCAAAACTATTGTGTTGCTTTGAATTTGAGTCAACATTGCAGGAGAAGAGGAAAACACACAGCATACTTGATTTCAATTCGAACTATGGGTTGTCAATGAGAAAAGTTCCTCGATTCTTCCAGTCAAACTTGGATTTGCCTTTCTCAAATGCCTTACTAATTATACTTTGAAAGTTACTCAGTAACTTAAATGAAATATGCCTACTATCCTTCCATTTCTACACAATGTATAATAACGTTTACGTCGATGAAGGTTAGACATCCAGGTAATACGATATGCCAAAAAACAGTTACTCAAGCAACTGGATATGATTTTGAAAACGTCAGACGTTTCAGCTAGTATCCACTAGCTTTCGTCAGTGACTGAGAGACCAGAGGGGAAAGCAGGTTTATATACACAACCTGTTGATTGATATGCAAATAAAGTGAAGACAAATTTTTGGAAGTCGAAAAAGGAACAAAAGTCAGACAAGTCAA